GGATCTCGGAATAGCAGTGGGCCCCAGGGACGGCGCATAGGCCCACTGGCATGTCGATACATCCTGGCGCCTACCAACCACCGCCCTGCTGCCTCCTGGATTAACCTTGGCAGACATAAGGCCACAGGAGTAAACCCCAAACGAAAAATCTGCGGTGAAGCCCTGCATCAGGCAGACATGCTTACAGAGCTCCAGTAAGACCCCAACGGCGGTATAGGCAGAAGAGGTGACCAATATGGGAACCCAGCGACTACACCGGTAGACGAAAGCAATGCCTGATGGACAGGTTACTAAGGCGAAACCCAACAAACTGGGCTATCGGCAGTCCATTGCAACTCTCCCTTTCCTCAGTCATTGCAACACATGCACCACTGGATCAAGAAAAGGGAGAGCCAAGATGTGTAGCTGCAGCCTGCGCTCCTGTCTCACCTCTTAAATCAACTCATGTACAGTCATCATCCAGCTCATCATACCTCTCGTCGTAGTCATCAAACCCCTATACCCCGAAAAAGTCTATTGTGATGTATGAGTGGCGACAGGGACAGGCAGAAATGACTGCCGGGAGTCTCTAGTCACAACTCTGCACACAGGCGGCATAGATAAGATGGACGTTTATGCACTGGGATCTAGGCAGCAGTGCAATCCGGTCCCGTTTGTGCGACTGAGCAGCCCTTTCGAGGAGCCACTCTGCTCACCCCAAATGGGGAGGGGCTAGAAAGGGTGCCCTAAACATAGCCTGCCTAAAACAACCAACTTGACCGGGAAAACTCACCCTGTAATGTCATCCTTATGCGGTCAAAAACACAAACATAATCACAGATCCAAACAAAAACAAACTATACAACCTCTTATGGTTGCTGCATCGAATGTCAGGACCCTTTTGGATACTGGCACAAATGAGTGTCCTGAATGAAGAACTGCCCTTGTGGCAAAAGAACTGGCTAGGTATAACATCGACATAGCAGCCATTATAGAGCGTTTTTTTCTCAGCTGAGAAAAGATGCCCTGCCCCCTTCTCAAGAATTACAGCTAATTGGCGGCTTCAAACCTGTTTGGTTTTGTCCTGAAGTAATGATATATTTACACACAATTGCAGGGTCTCAATTGTTTCTCTTACTATTGACCAAACAACATACACGACAATATACAGTATTGTTTCACACTTTTGATCTTTTTTTTTTTTATTTCTTTGTGGTTCTTTATTTTTTTATGACAGTGATACCCCGATTTACGGTGTCAATTGAACCCACGGGGTACCGCGTAACACGAAAACCGCGTAAAGCGAACAACAGAACATATGGGATTAATTCCAATAGAGACTGGCCCGACCCACAAACTCCACTTTTTGACGACACAAAACTACGTTGTAGTAAAATTATTATCTTAACTTTATGATGGTATGCACACACACATAATATAGAAGAGAAATATCAATAATAGAATAATATACTGTACCAGGTAAAAGAAAAATCAAGGTTTAACACTTATGTCAGGTTAGGTTAGGTTAGAAAAAATCAAGGTTTAACACTCACCTAAGGTTAGGTTAGGAAAAGTCAAGGTTTAACACCTACGTAAGGTTAGGTTAGGTTAGGAAAAATAAAGGTTAGGTTTAACACTTACGTTAGTAGAAGAGATGGGTCGGCATACGGGGATGGAGGCTGGTTCCGAGGCAGAGGGCAGGCTACTGGCCCTCAGGTGAGTCTTCATCGGTGTCATCCACTCTTACTAGTGCCTCCCTGACAAATCCCTCAAAGTCATCTTCACTGTCTCTACCTCTGTCACTATCACTGGCTCGGGCTGGCTGTGGTGGGTTGCGGGCGAAGAACTCGGTAATGCTTTTTTGATGGCTAGTGTTGATGTTGTCTTGATACACCTTGATGTACGGCTCCATAGCCTGCACCAGCCGGGTATGGAAGACTTCATAGCGGTCATCGTCATGGTCGTTAGAAAGGAAGAGCTTCAGTTTCTCTGCACACTCGATGGCACCCTTAACATTACTATGCGTTAACTCGTGTTTTTCTGGGGTTGACGCACCACCTGCCTCTTCACTGACGTGATCATCTTCCAACATCACCTCCAGGATGTCTTCGTTGGTGGTCTCGGAGAAGCCTTCAGCTGTAATACAATACTGTGAGCAGCTTCTCTTGCAAGGTCCAATGCCACTGTAACAGACTGAACCTCACCAGTCACAGGTTGACTCCGCCTCTCACCTGGGATACCATGTAACACATGCCTCCATGCGTGACGAATCGTAGCTACAGACAGCTGATCCCATGCCTCCACCAAGAAGTCCACAGCTTGTTTGACGTTAAATTTTTTCCAAAACTGTTTGACGAGAACTTCTTGATTCACCACCGGTTGTGCCTTGTCCTCGTCCCCGTCGCTTTTGCTCTCGCTCTCGCTATCAGTTTCACCCAGCTTATGCAACTCATCCTTGGGTGTTAGTACAGTCGTTCAGGAGCCTAAACTTCTTTGCAGAGTATGCAGCTTTCACATTGCATATCAACTCCTGGTCCATGAGCTGGATTAATGACGTAGTGTTGGGAGGAAGGAAGACCACTTTTACGTTGGGGTGACGATCCATAAGTAGTGGCGAGTGTCCTGGTGCGTTGTCAAGGAGTAACAGAATGTTGAATGGAACATTTTGTTGCTCGCATAATTTCTTCACTTTGGGAACAAAACAGTCATCAAACCAGGAGAGTGACAGAGCAGAGAACATCCACGCCTTACGTGCGGTCAGCCAGTGGACATTAATCTTGCTCATGTCCACTTTCTTGTAGGCGTGCGGCTTGCGGGCTGTGTGAATCACCGATAACTTGAGTTTACAGGTACCGGAGGCATTGGTGGTAAAGAGGACGGTGATGCGCTCCTTCTGCAACTTCTGGCCCCGAATCTTGCTGGCAGACTGGACAACGAAGGTCTTGGTAGGTAGCTTTTTCCAAAAATAGACCGGATTCTTCCATGTTAAACACCTGGTTGTCGGTGTACTGTCCTTCCTCCATAATCTCACGTAAAAATGGAGGAAAATCTCTAGCCGCCGCCACAGTCAGCACTCTCTTTTTCACCACCAATGTTGATGTTGGTGATCTTGTTCCTCTTCTTAAACCTATGCAGCCAACCAGAGGAAGCATTGAAGGGTTTGGGCTCTGCAATTCCCATCTTACGTGACACTGCTGCGTACAGTTCACGGGCGTATTCTTGAACGGTTTGCCTGTCAACCGCCATGTTGCGTCGCGCCTGACGAATCAAGTAACTCGCCAGCAAATTTTCAACCTTTAGCAGCACCTTGTTCTGGCAATACTTGATCATTGAAGCACCTGCAGACTTTGTGATTCTCATGTGTTCTTTGATTTTGGCTGCATCCTTCTTAATAGTACGAATCGTAGATTCGTTGACTCCATGCTGGCGCGCGAGATCAGTTTGACGTATTCCTTTCTCCAAATCATGAATGATCTGGTATTTCACTTCGTAGCTTAGGGAACGTCGTATCTTCTTTGGCTTAGGGCGGCTGGGTCCAGGTAATGCAAGGTCTTTCTCTGGGGGCAGTGGTCCGGCGGAAGCCATTTTACAGAACAATGGATACTGGTTTACACGGTGTGACCTGGAGGGATGCAGCTGACATGGCTAGGTCAAGTGTCGTCTTTCCTCCCTCCCGCGGGTGGACATGTCATATTACTTTAAACCAATCACAGCTAGCGGCGGAGGGAGGTAAGGATGCGTGGCCCAATCACAGTCCGATACGTCATATGACGTCACTGATAACGCAACAGAGACATCCACTGCGCAATCTATCCGCGCGGTTTGCCCAAGCGGGAGAAGGCGGGAGCGTCGAATCTAAAAATAGCATCGTGCCAGACATTCTACGCGTATATGAGTAGATGCACCGCATAAAATGAAAGTCCGGTTCTGGCGACGTACTGCGTAAATGTAGAATCGCGTAAAGCGAAACCGCGTAAAGCGGGGTATTACTGTATTATTTTTATTATTTTATTTTAAATTTCGTATTTTTCATTATCAATTTTATTTACAGGTACTATAAATTATTATTATTACATTTTTGCCCCCCCCCCCCTCCCCCCAGGTCGCGATGTGGGTCAGTGACCTGTGCCCGGGTGGGCTAATCCCCGTAAAAAAAAATGAAAATATGGCCGGGTTTATTCATTGATCCGTTGTATAAGTGCAAAAGTAGCCCTATCGAGCCATCATGTATCAATTAATTTTAAAATAGAAATTATAATGTAAAATGTTATAAGACAATGGTTTAGTAGTGCTGTTAATGTGTGTGCTGTGTAAGTGTCTTGGCATGTCACCTCACCACCTGACTCCTGAACAAATTCTTCATCAACTTCTTCAAATCCTACAATGTGCTTGGCAAGCTAAAACAAACACACACACACACACGCACACAAATTAAGACAACAAGCATCCAGTGAGGGTCTTGTTGTGTGACTGCATGGAGGTGAATTAAAATATTAGCTGTTGAGGAGCTTATCACTTGTCAACACTGGTGCATGTAACCACTCCTTTCCACTCCATCTCTCTAATTATCCACATCTTTCTGCTTTCTCACTCCATATTTTAAATGTTATATAACGTAATGTTGATGGGATACAACTTTGCTCATTTATACTTATATTTATCACAATCTCCCTAAAAATAATTTAGATTTCATGTTTATTCAAGACATCTTCAGGTCATGAGACCCACTAATCCCCCACCCTACCTCCACCTGACATATGAGTCAGGTCAGGTCCCCTCAAAAAATATTTTCATCTCTATTCAAGACATTGAAAAAAAAAATCTCTCGATTTCCAACCTTGGAAAATTTGTTGCTAAAGCCAAAATTTTGGGGAAAATTCAGGGCTCTGAGAATGATTTTCCAAGCAAATTTCAATTCCAGCTATCAGAGATTTCCGGGTTTGAGGGATTCCGGGTAATGGAGATATTACTGTACGTATTTTAATTCATATGTACCTCCTGTATATTTTTCTCCAAAACAGCATGGCAAGCGGGACAAAGCAAACATTATTTACAATACTTCTCTGCCTGTTATCTTTGGCATTAAGAAGTATGCTGATGCATTATGGAAGGTTAGTAATGCTGATATGTACTGTATTTTCATTTAAAATAAGAATATAATTACTGTATGTATGTGCAGATAACTTTAGATGCTTGATTAAATTGTGTGTTTGGAGATATGGGGTAGGATCAGACTTGTTTCCATATTGGACAGAGTGTCTATTGTGCAGAAAAATGGATGAGTTGACGGTTGGAATTTTTTCGTAAGTTGGCAGGTCAATGGGTAAAGAAAAGGCTTAAATTCACTATGGTATGTCCTGACGGACGTAGGGTCAGAGCAGGTCGTAAGTACCGATGGACGTAAGTCCATGCAGTCGTAAGTCGGGGACTACCTGTACAGTACAGGGATGACCAAAACTTAAAATTTACCCAATATAGCCTATCACAAATCTAAACATCAAATAGCTTATGGCAGTTATAGTAAAATTTTACCCATTAATTAATATAAATGGTGACATATCCCAGTGGTTCATTAGTGAATCATCATAACAATAACAGCACTATGTTGTCGTATTTAGCTAGCATCAGGCATTATAAAAACAAAGTCCAGACAATGTCATCACTTCTAAATTGACTCGTATCTCCATCTAGTACTGATATATAATGTAAATTCTCTAAAAAAAAAAAAAAATAGAGAGAGAAAGTCTACTTGGTAAGAATACATGACAACTGAGCTGGTGTGAACCTGGGAGTTTCTTATGTCCAAAAGAACATCTGAATGGAGTAAACTGCAGCGGGCCTATTGGACCATACTGGGCAGTCCCATTTACACCCAACCCCTATCGCTCATGTATCCATCCACCCAACCTATGTTTGAAGCTGCTCTTCACGGCACATTTATTCACTTAGAAAATGTCCATGACTTAGACCATAAAAAACACCCTTAAAACTTACCTGAATGTGGCATTTGGGGTCTGAGAGGCCATCCTTTCTACTACCTATGATTGCAGTGATGAGTTTGAAACTGGTGACATCGTTGCAAATAACGGTCCTGTTTCTAGAGAAATAAAGTTATCTCGACTATTATAGCAGCACTTGAAACTTTTATTACAAATTATATATACTGTATCACTCTCCGAACATGGCAGAGTGTATTTCTTGTGTTTGCCCAGAACTGTCAACTCGTCCATTGTGCAGTATGACTGCCCAGGCAGTGGTGAGTGCCTTGTGATGTGATACTCATGGGTGGCCTGGCTGTGAGTGATGGTCCATTTTCTTTTCAGGTAAGTTTTTCTGTATTTTGATGAACTAAACTATTTGCATTTTTTTCTTCTTAAAAATGATGATATGGTATTTGGTTTTGTTATAGAATATGTATACAGGTATCCCTTGTTTAGTGATCAGGATTTGTTCCTGGAAAAACCGGTCGCTAAGTGAAATGATCACTAAGTGAGGGGAAAAAGATAAATATTTGAGGATCAGGTCGGTGGACCCCGGACTTGATCATGAATGCCGTCATTGAGACGATTATCTCCAAGCCTCACCCTTCCTCAAGTCAGGAGACAGGACATGTGACCTGATTCCTTTGTTTTATGTCTTTCTCCCTTGCCTTGTTCTGTTAGTTAGCTGAAGAGGGTTCTAGTATTTGCCTTTTATTTCCCCTACTTCATATACTAGTGTGACCATTACATTTTTGGAATATCATCTACATATTATCGGCTTACTCGCAATGTAAGTGTTACATTTATTTATTACTGTAGTATTTATTTTATTGTTATTTTACTGTACTGTACTGCACTGTATACAGTATACAGGATACTATTTTCTTTATTTATAAGCCACATTACAGTACTGTATTGTAATGATGCACACTTGGAGCACAGAATTCCCGAGTTTTTCCAAATTCCCTTCCAAATTTTTCCCAGAGAGTTGAAGATTGTTAAACCAAAAATTGAGGATCATTAAACAACAAAATGTGTTAAAAAATTTAAGTAACTAAACCGAATATCACTAAGTGAACAATCACTAAAAGAGGGATTCCTGTATTTAGAGTGTTGTATGAAGATGTAATGGTGAAAAGTTGATAAAGGTAGGAGTTTACCTGTGAACTTTACAACGTGGCATATGGTCCCATACTGGACACAGCAAAGCTTGGATGTCTGATTTGGGTCTTAGAATTTTTTTTTTTAATTTCAAAATTCAGTAGACTTTTGTCCTATTTTATTTGACAGCATCTTTTTATCTTTCTGTTTATCCAAAATGGCATTTGTCTTTTTTTATGTGGGGAGGGGAGATGTGAACAATATCTGATTCCTCCCCAAATATGACACCAGTCTGTTGAAGGAGCAATTTCATTAATCTGTCAGTTTCAGATGGTTAAATGTGTTTCTGCAAATTGAGCCATCTACCAAAGCTAGACAAATGGTTACATTAACAAACCATGTAAACAGTTTGTATATACAGGTGTTGACTGTTGTATGATGGATATATATACGATCGATCAGTTTTATGGTGTTAAAAAATTACACCATTTACTGCTATATAAAGGTTTCATGTGGTTGCTGACTGAAGGCTTTTCCTGCATTATTACTGCCATAATGACAAGGCTTTTCCTGCATTATAACTGCCATAATGACAGCTGGGGGATTGTAACTTACACTCGCAACAAAAAGTATCGGTGCATACTGTAGTGTGAAAAATTTGAGACCAGTGACGATAGGTATTGGGAAAGGCGAGTTGTTCCAGCCATATGTTGGCAGCCCTGGTCAAGTGAAACAAACCGTTATAAATAAGGTCAGGAAGTGATAAATAGACAGTGTGAAATATGAGGAGCTCCCTGAACAAAATTATTTGTGATACTTGTGAATATTGCCACAATAATTTATGCTACCAAAGAAACCACTCAACCTGGTCGTCCTGAGGGGTGGTGCAGCGTGGACGGCCGCTCCGAGACCTGTCGTCTGTAGCACCAGTTTCGAGGTATCGCCGAATCCATCGTGCAGCGGTGTTCCTGTGGACACCAACCCACTGGCTAATATCTGTGACGCCGAACCCTTCTTTATGAAGGGCAATAATAGTTCCTCGTGTTCCCTCTGAGGTTTCCATGTCGTCTGGCATGTGTAGATCTCTACTGCTTCATATTGCCTCTGTTTTATACCCACGTTCACCGAGACCGAACCCTTGCTCATCATTCAGTCAACACAAAGCAACAATCTGAAAAGAGGAAACAAACACACTGATTGTCAGCCATATGGCAACACCGAGTGGAGGGGGGGGGTTATGAGGATACACTTACCAACCTTCCCGACATATCACAGTGTATACGTATCGTTTCGGAAGTCGTCGATTTCAATTTATTAATATCAATATACGATTGATCATTAGCGATGGCTTTTTGAGGTCCTTTCTCCTATCGTATAACAGTCGTTGCCTTTATATAAATTATACAGGTGTGCGGGTGTAGGTATAGTTTAGCATGATTGTAGGGTCTTTATTTAGGCTACAAATTTCCAGGCCATTGAAATAAAGACAAATTGTGTGGGTAAAAACACCCCCAAGAATTACGAAATGAAACCTAACAAAACCTGACTTTACCTAACTTAACATTGCCTTTGTCTTGACGATTGTGCACCATTTCATAAAAAGCTAAGTGTTTATCTTTACAATAATCGTTGTCTACATCACATTTTGGACACTGCAGAAGTTTGCAGAACACCATAGGCCTTGAAAATGTCAATTGCAGCATATTTATTTACAAAAAACATGTTGAATGGTCTGCAATTCTGAGAAAGAGCATCTTTTGCTCAGAAACCATCTTGCAACTGACAAATTCCAATTCAAAAGCATGAGCATGCACAAAGAGACTTCCACTGATTGGCTGGACATACAGTATAATGAAGTGAGTAAGAAGTCAACAATATATCCAACAAACTTGTTATTGTGAAATTAAAGGACCTCTAATTTGTACTTGAACAGAAATCGTACAATCAAATACAGTGATATCTCCGTTAGCTGGAACAATTCGTGCAGAGCTCTTTCGGGAATGATCTAGGTAACCAGACGACTCTGTCAAAGCTGGAAAAAAAACCTCGTCCCCAGAATTTTCCAGAATTTTCCGGGTAACGGGAAAATGTTCTTGGAAGATCCGGAAATTGCCCTTTACATCATCTCTGGAATCCAGAAAATTATCCCTCATCCTCAGAATTTCCAGAAAATGCGCCTGATTTTCATCTCTCAAACCCGGAAAAAAATCCCCCATCCCCGTAATTTTCCGTGTATTGGGGAAAATTTTCTCTGAATTTTTGGGAAAGTGTTCCCCCTGGAAAATTTCAATTTTAACTATCAGAGAGTTCCGGGTTTGAGGGATTCCGACTAATGGAGATATTACTGTACAGTAAACTCTTTAGAGTTCGGACCTTGTAAGTCCGGATTTCCAATAGTCTGAATCTCGTAAGTCCGGACCCTTTAAAGGTAAGAAACATTTGTCCAAACCCTTAAATATTTGTTTGAAATTTTTGCCAACAAGCAATTCCTTGGCCACTTTCCTTCTTTGGACCCATGAGTGAGAAGTTTATTCCCCCACTCTTGGAATGAACCCGCCCATAATGATGCACTGTGATTGGTTAGCTATAAGTTCAACACACATTCAGCCACAAAAAAATGGTAAGCTTCTAGGTAACATAATTCAAACAATGGTGATGGTAATCCTCCTGGGAAGAACAGAAGATGAGCGCGTTTTACAGTAGGCTCGCAACTTACGCCAGGGTTACGTTCCTGGGACTTGGCGTAAAGTAAAAAAAAATGCGTAAAGTCAGAAACACTTCTAAATTGTCCTTAAATCACTACAGTACAGTCTGCATTTACGTGGTCAATTGAACCCGTGGAGGTCCGCGTAAAACGAGAAACGCGTAAATGAAATAACAGAACACATGGGATTAATTGAAATAGAGACTGGGCCAACCCCCAAACTCCACTTTTTCTGACACAATACCTAAGTTGTAGTAAAAATAACATCTTAATTTTATGATGGTTTGCACACACAATTAATATTTAAGAGAAATACAGTCTCCGG